GGTTAGTTTTTCTCTCTCGTCATGTTTTTGTCTATTTGTTGTTGTTGCATTTCATGTTTTACATCCGTTTGCCTTTATTTGTGAAAGTTTTTCCTCCTGACAGCTGTTTAGTGGCCGTTTGAGCTCATTCAGCATCGATTTGTGGTCATTTTTGTGTGAATTTGTTCGTGTTTCTCGTCTCTTTGTGGTCGTTTTGCCTCCATTAGCGGTAGTTTTGTGTCTGTTATTGCTTCTATTTGTGGTCATTTTGTGAATCTGTTTGTGTTTCTTGTCTGTTTGTCATCATTTTGTCACTATTTATAGTTTTTTATGTCTGTTTGTAGGTTTTTGTGTCTATTTTGTGCCTGTTTCATGTCTTTTTTCAGTCATTTTGCATTGAATTGTGGTTATTTTCTTTCTCTCTGGTCGTATTTTCTCAGTTAGTTTTTCTCTCTCGTCATGTTTTCGTCTATTTGTTGTCGTTGCATTTCATGTTTCACATCCGTTTGCCTTTATTTGTGGTTAAACTGCGTCTCTTTGTATTTATTTGTGCCGTTTCGTTCCAGTTTGTGGCTGTTTTTTTTATGCCTTTGTGAAGATTTTGTTTGTACGAATTTGTGGTCACGTCTGTTTTTCTGTGTCTAAAGTTGTTTTCACGTCTATTTGTGGTTATTTTTTGTGTCTTTGTGGTCGTTTTGTGTCTTTCTAGCATTTCTTTTGCAGTCATTTTGCATCTCTTTGTGGTTATTTCTTATCTCTGAGTGCTAATTTCACACGTCGTCGTGGTCTTTTTACGACTCTGCGCTCACTTCAGATCTGTTTGTCGTATCCTGGGATCAATGAATGAGATTTAATTTGGTAATTATCAAAAAGACACCCACTGATATGATATTGATTGGAGGTAACCGAGGTAGTAAAAATAAAAATACCGTCTTTGTTCCACTGAGTTGACTCACATTCAACTAATCTTTAATATTTCTGTAGTTTTCTATGTTTGGCTTCTTTAATTAGTTTGATTTTAACGTATCGGGATGAAAACTGGATTTTTTTTTAAGGCAGAATGAATCAGAGTAAAGAAAAAGTACGAGAAAAACTTTAAAAACATCAGATGATTGATCTAAAGCATGAATCTCATTTAAACCGTGAGACAATCCGGCGACATAAACCTGCATTCCTACTTTGTTCTGTACCTTTAACGCCGTCGTACCGCTGAGCTCCTCCTGACGTTAACCAGCTGGGATTCAAACCGACGTCTCTGCTCCTAAACAGCCCACAATAAATAATAATAATAATAATAACAGATAAAATAAATAAAAGAGACGAACAGAAACCAGGGAGACAGACAGCAAGCGTCAGTAAAAGTGTGTGCAAATATATTTCCATTTCTTGTCATTACAAACAACAGTGATAAAAAGTGAATCATTAAAAACACGTTCAGAGTTCAGAGTGCCGCCTGGTCTCTGGGAGATTCAGTGCACGTTACACTTCAAACTGCAGGTGCCGAGGAGGAAGTTCGTCATCAGGAAGTTAATTCATTAAAAAAAAAAACACAATAAACACTCGATTATTCTGTGAGAATTATTATATACACGACAGCTTCCAGGACGTTCAGGAGCCGAAGCTGCACCAAAGTTTGAATTAATGTTCTGGAGAAAAAAACAACAACAAATATAAAGTACAGACATCAGCACGGTTCAGGAAAGTCAACAGAAGACACAAAATATGAACTAAAAAGTGACTCGTTCTGTATTTTTCTCATTTAAAATCCCAAATGCAGATAAAAGCTGATCAGAAAATTCACTGGAGGATTGTTTTCAGCGTTTATGTGAATCTGCACCTGAGATTTGACGACAAGAAGAAAAATAAAGAACATAATCGGTAGTGTTGCTGTGAACCACTCAGACAGTGTTGATGGTTTAAAAAGTTGTTCTGTACAAACTAAAGTATCTGTAAACCGTTACCAGTAAAAACGCCTCCCACTCAGCGGTTTCTACGTTAACGTCACATCAGGCACTTTAATATGCGCTATTTTATCTTTTCAGATTAAAGCTGAAGAACAAAACGCTCCAAATGTTGACACACATTTATAAATGTGGCCGTTTTAAACCAAACAAGTTCAGTCAGATTAAAATATAACGAAGTGAGTTCGCATTTATCAGCCAGAAACGGCTTTAAAACAGCATTTACACGACCATTATGGAGGAATTTAAGACATATAAAAGCTAAATGGGGACTCATAATTTAGCAAATATCCTTGCTGCTAACACTTCCCAGCTTGTTGATTAGCTCTCAAGCTAACAGCTAGCAGCTAAACGCAGTTCAGTGATTAAAATGAATTAGAACTTTGGGCTTCAGCAGCAAATCATCTTTCAATAGAGCAACGCTTACTGAAATGTCCTACTTTTCCCACTGAAGCTAACACCTCACAGTGTCTCTATAGCCTCTTAAGCTAACAGCTAGCAGCTCATTAGCTCATAGAAATTGCCAGAAAATATAATTCAGCCATTAAAATGAAATCACTGGGGGGTATTTGGCCTCATTGCTGCAGGTTTTTAGCAAACAAATTATTTTAAGTAGAAAAATATTCTGCAGTTTCCAGCTTATTTATTAGCTGCACAGCTAACAAATGACAGCTCGCTAGCTAACCAGTGTTTCCAGAAAACACGTTGTTAAAATGAATTTAGAGAAATTTGGAGCTGTTGCCATATTTCAGTGATGAAATTCTGTTCAGTACAAAAATATTTCTCAGACTATAAACCAACACTTCCTAGCTTGTTTATTAGCTCTCAAGCTAACAGCTCATAAGCTAATAAATATTGCCAGTAAATGCGTTTTAGTGCTCAAAATTAATTAAATGGCAGACTTTAGGTTTGTCACTTCAGTATTTCAGCAGCAAATTATTTTTCAATAGAGTAACACTTCAATTTCCTACATTTCCTCACTGAAGCTAACGCCTCCAAGCTCCTCTCTTAGCTCTTGCGCTAACAGCTAGCAGCTCACTAGCTAGTAAGCTACAAGCATTGCTGCAGAATCTAATTTAACACTTAAAATTAACTAGCGGGGGGCAATATGAACTTGTTGCAGTTTTTAGCGAACAAATTATTTTCAGTAGAACGTTTTTCATTTTCCACACCAAAGCTAACATTTCTCAGCTTTTATATTGTCTCTTGAGCTAACAGCTAGCAGCTTGCTACATAATAAAAAATGTCAAAATATACAGTTTAGCGGTTGCGATGAATTAAACTGGGAAATTCGGATCTGTAGACTCAGTATATTTTTTTAGTAGAACAATGCTCCAAGCTAACTAACTTTATTCTTGTTCTTTAGCTAGTGTGCTAAGAGCTAACGTTGCATATTAGTGTTTAGCTAGTGAATGACTCATTAGTGATTCACATAGGATGTGTTGTAAATTAACTTCAACAACGTAAATACATGTTAAACAAAACTTTAGCTACTGCTCAATAGCTAAAATGTTCACGTTAGCTTAGCTTTTAGTTGTTTACGATGGGTAAGCTGTGATGCTAGTGCGGCTGAATGTGCTAGCTATGTTACTTCACTATTTTATTGCTCATAATTCGTTCATTAATAAAGTCAGACAATATTTTATACTTTTTTTTTCGTCAACAAATGGCACCTTTAAATCTTTATTTAACAGATTGATCTTTGAGATTTAAATATTCATTTATGCTGCAGTTTATTATTGAAATCAGTTTCAGCTCTTAGTGACATCTATGTATCCCTAAAACTAAAATAAACACACATAAAGCTGTTGCTTCTTTCACTGCACGACTTCAGTACTTGTTCTCGTTGAAAACAACCTTTAACGTGATAAACTTTTGAGGTTTTAGTGCAGATCGATTCCAGTGCAGCCGTATTTAAATAATGGAGCCAAACGGGGCTGGACTGGCTTTTGAGTTAACACTTGATATGCATCTTCATCGGTCTACTTGTGCAGTAAAACGTATAATTTCTACCTTTTCTTTTTTTCTTTCTTTGTTTTTGCTGTTGTGACCATTATGGATTGGGACCAGGATCGGGTTGGACCAGCTATTAAAAAATCCAGATTTGTCGTTTTTCCACAACCTAAGGATGGTTTACGTTTGTGTTATTGTTTAATTTAAGAAAATCAGGTTAGCAGAATTTGCTATTAGCACCTCCTGCTGGCTGCAGACCACTGGAAGTACTCGCGACTTTTACTGAATTAGTTTGACGCTGAAGAAAACCTAAAAACGTGTCGATTATCAGGCAACTTCTGAACTGGAAGGAGCATCAAAGTATGTGGATCATGTGTTCAGACGTGACTGGATTTGACACCTAATTGCAGCTTTTGGGCGCTAATGGTTTCACCGTAGCCCTGATCAGTTCTTACCTGCCCAGCTAAAGAAAAACAAGCCCAGCTGGGTGGAAAATCCAACTGGAAACACTGGCGAGGTAAATAAATGGGAACGGGGGGCAGGAAGTGTTGGTTTGGATTGTGAAGGTGGCGCTAAGTTGCTCTTAAATCCGGCTAGCGTTACCCAGTTTAGTGCAATCTAGAGTGTTTCAGTCCAGTATCTGTGGGCCTGGTCCAGTCTAGTTTGTCACATCTGGTCCAGTGATGAAGCCAGTCCAGTCCGCCACTGTGGAGTCCAGTCGGTCAGCCGGTTCTAACGGGTGCCGGTCCGGTCCTAAGCGGCCACACAGTGGTTGGGTCGGCGGGACATGACGTATCCTCTCCGGCAGACGCAGCGGAACGAACCGTCGGTGTTCACGCAGCGAGCGTTCACGCACGGGAACTCCACGCCGACGCCGTCCTCGCACTCGTTGATGTCTGCGAACGCACACACAGGCGATCAGTTACCAATCAGAACAATCAGTACCGGAACCAAGAGGAGAACCAGGTGTTCATGCTGTTGACAGGGTTTATGGTTTGAATCTACTTTTGATTTATTCCACCCAAAATATAACTTTATGTCCAAAGAGTTCTGATTTTCAAGGTTTAATCCACTCAGCATTACTACATTCTGTTTAAATCTTTGTTTTTAAGGTTTATTTTGCCCAAAACACCACCTTTTTCTCCAAATAATTCCATTTCTGATAGTGTATTCCACCCAAAATACTACTTTACGTCCAAATAGTTCTAATTTTCAAGGTTTAATTGAAGCAACGTCCCACTTTCTGCCAACATGGTTGTAGTTTTAGGGGTTTGCTTTGTTCAAAATCCTATTTCTGCCCAAATAATACTTTTTAAAGCTTATTCCAACCAAAAACTACGACTTTGTGTCCCTGTTTTACAAGTTCATTCCATCCAAAAACCTATTTTCTATTCAAATACTTGCAGTTTCAAAGGTTTCCTCCACCTAAAGTACGACTTTCTGTCCAAATATTTATAGTTTTTAAGGTTTGTTCCATGTTTGTTGTCCATCTTGTGCAGGACATTTTCTAAGTTATCCAGTTCTGTAGGTGGCGCTGTTGCAAGAAAACATGTTTCTGGAAGAACTGCAGCGACACGTGACTCCCTCCAGGATCTGATCCGTGAGACGATCTTCTTCATCGTTAGTTAAACTAAAACAGTGAACTTATCTTCAGAGTTATACTGCAGACTAAAACCTGCGCCGCCCTGCTGTACTGCTGCCTCTACGTACCGATGCAGGTCATGGAGGTCATGTCCAGCTCGTATCCTTGGTAACAGTCGCAGGTGTAACCCTCGGCAACGCGAATACACCTGCCGTTCTCACAGCCGTTAACTATCCCACAATCCTCTGCTGCGCTCAGGCCGGCGTA